TAACCAGTTCAGCATTCCAAGTGGTGAACATGTAGGAAAAGATATTTCTAACAAGAGTACTTCCAACAGCCATTGTTACAAGAAATGCTGGTACAACAAGCTTTTCAGTCATCTCTGGAGGTCAAGTTCTCCTCAGAGGAACTGCAAACAAGCAGTTCTAACTCAGCTTACTCACACAGTCCTACTGGACAGCTGCACTGACAAAGCTGGGTTAGCTTGCATAGTCCATAATTAGTTCCCCTTCTCTCACTTAAACTGACTCTAGAGCATTTTCTTTCTTCTTCTAAACACAGTACAGTCACATTTTAAATGGAATTACTGTTTTTGCTTGCTTGATAAGCATCCCTGTGATGATGTATACAACAGAAACCATTAGGAAATTAAATGCATACCATCTTTTACTGTTGTTTGAAGTCCCACTCAACCAGTAATGATATTGGAGAATTTACATCCATAATGGTACAAATGAAAACCAGCAAATTGCTTAATTTGCTCCTGTTGCCATTACTGAAATAAGCTCTTGTCTAAACTGAGCATTCAGTACATGAGAGACACAGAACTGCTGCGGCAGTAATCTTTTTTTATTAGTTTGACTCCAACATAATTGTTTTTGTTTTACCTGAGAGCAGAATTTAAGCATCTTGTATGTGACTTTAATTTCCTTTTGCATTAGATAAAACGTTTCAGAAAATAATAATAAGGTTAATGGGATTAAGAATTTTAAAATATTTTTTGCCACGATAGTGTACAGTATGTCTGAACTTACTATTGAAATCTGTAGGACCAACTACAGGAAAAAAAAAAAATAGTAGTAGAACCAGGATTTATTTGTTGGTCAAAATTGGACAATGAGGATATAGGGAGACAGTTGAGCTCAGAATAATCTTGTATTAATCCATTCAGCTGAGCTACAGGAGAGTCCTAAACACTGTTTGCTCTTCCTGAGAGGAGTGAGCACACCACTGGAGCTAAGCTGCTGGAGATAAACTGCTTCTGCGGAACGGCCGCCAGGACAGCATGCATCCTCAGCTGCTATCTGGTAACCAGGGGTGGTCAGCAATGCCATCAGTTGCCCTCACTGGATCCAGCAGGTTTGTGACACATGCAGCTTGGGCACTTTGGGATCTCAGCTTCTCCTCTCCACTTACTGTCCATGTGTGTCCACATCTTAATGTCTGTGCTCCTTTGTCTGCTGCAGGAACATTCCTTGCAGGAGAATAAGGGTATGAACAAACCTGCTAAAGGTGCTGCACAGTAGAGATATCCTGCTTGAACTGATGTAGGTGAACATGAAATTACATTACATGTAATTTTAAAAGATTAAATTACATGAATTTCAAAAGATTAAACCACCTGTATTTGGTTTAAATTCTTGAAGTTGCATACATTAAGCATATGTCATACTGAAAAAAATTAATTCAATTTCACAGGATTTATGAGTATGGAATTGTTAATTTTGTAGTTCTTACCTGCACTGCAATAAAATGCATTTCATTGGATTTTTAAAATATGTATCATTTACTGTATTTTTAATTCATCGGTTTCTCCATTAAATTTAAGTTACTTGTTGTCTGTGCTTCCACTTACGAAAGTTGACTGCTCTTCCATAATAGCTTGTGGGAAGATTGAACAGAAAACCAAACTAATGCCAGCCATTTTTCAGCCATTTTTCAGTCTCATAAAATGATTAAAACTGATTTAAAATGACTCATTAAAACTGAAAACATTAGGATCATTAAAAAGCCATTAAGCCACCTCACTCTTCTGATTTATTTTACAATAACCTTATTTGGCCAGTTTTTTAAAGTCACAGAATCCAATCTTTCTAATTATTGGCTGTACATCCACCACGCAGTAGGAAGATGTGTTCATTATGATTCCATTCTTTGTGAGTCTTTTCAGCTAATTCTTCAACCTTTGCAGATCCTACTACAGCAGTCACTTTGGCCTTGTGTGTAAGTTTAGGCATGAATAGATCAATTGTAATCTGCACAACTGGTTGCCTACTTAAAGACTATGTTCAGAGTATCTGGACCTGCTCAAATAAGCTGCACTGAATTCTATTATTACTGTAATGGATCATGTTTAGTTCCAAGTGCTTTGCTTACAAATGGCATCAGAATTTTAAACAGTGTTGTCTGAAAAAGCTAAAATTGAGATGTTTTGAAGCCTATGCAGTTCTTACAAAAAGAACAGGTTTTCCTTAACAGGGTGTAACACTGAAAATCTCAGGCCATGAGGAAAAAAATCACCTTTATCCCAATTTTCATTTGATCTTGACCCCCGATACGTAATGGCTCCTACATACGATTATATAGCTGTTGTCCCTGGGATTTTATTCCAGCTATTCATGTTCTTAATAAACAAGCATGTTTACATTTTTTATGTGGAGAACTAGACTTTTCAAAAGACCTTTTATCTTTCTGAGTAGGCTTTGATTTCAGCAAACAGGAATTAGGAAAAATTCTTGTTTCCTTTTCTCAAGGGATACTACTAGTAGCTTTTTAAAAATTCTGAAAATTAGTGGAAATTAATAATTTTGAAAAGACCGCACTCAAATTAAAAACAGCTTTCTGACATACCAAGAATAAAGCCAATCTTTTTAATAAGCTTTTTGTGATGGACTTGTAAATCAATTATCAATTCTGAAAAGCGTACCTTTAAAAAAAAAGAAAAGAAAAAATGACTCAAGGAAAGCAAGAGAATTTTCACTAAATACTCTCTTATGAAACACCTTATGAAAACATATTTAATGTAAACTTGCAATTAAATAAGCCATAAGTAAAATTGTTCATTTCCAAGACTCTGTGTGGCTGGAAAGCTGTGTGGAGGAAAAGGATCTGTGGATGTTGATTGACACTTGACTGAACATGAGCCAGTAGTGTGCCCAGGTGGCCAAGAAGATCCATGGGATCTGGGTGTATCAGAATTGGTGCAGCCAGCAGGAGGAGGGAGGTGATCACTCCTGCGTACTCAGCTCTGGTGAGGAGGCACCTTGTGTACTGTGTTCAGGTTTGGGCCCTTTTCTACAAGAAAGGCCCTGGAGAGTGTCCAGAGAAGGGCAGCGAAACTGCGAATGATCTGGAGCACAAGTCTTATGGGAGTTGGCTGAGGGAATTTAGATCGTTTAGTTTGGAGAAGAGGAGGCTCAGGGGAGAACTTAGTGCTCTCCACAGCTCCATGAAAAAAATTTGGGGTGGGGATCAGCCTATTCTCCCACGTATCAGGAATAGCACAAGAGATAATGGCCTCGAGTCCCAGCAGTGGAGGTTCAGGCTGGATATTAGGAAAAATTTCTTCTCAGAAAGGATCTTGAGGCATTTCAACAGGTTGTCCAGGGAAGTGGTGTAGTCACCATTCCTGGAGGTGTTTAAGGAAAGGGTAGAACACAGAAAGAGGCAATTGAGCCCAACCCTCCCTGCTAAAGCAGGTACCTTATAATAGGTTGCACAGGTAAGCCTTCAGATGGGTATTGAGTATCTCTATGGAAAGACACTCCACAACCTCTCTGGGCAGCCTGTTCCAATGCTCTGTCACCCTTACCATAAAGTTCTTCTGCGTATTAGTATGGAACTTCCTATGTTCAAGTTTTAGGCATTATCCTTGTCTTATTGCAAACACCACTGAGAAGAACCTGGCCTCATCCATTTGCCTCCCACCTCCCTTTAGATATTTATAAACATTTATCAGATCCCCCCTCAGTCTTCTTTTCCCCAAATGTAGATATAGTAGTTAGGGACATGGTTCAGTGGGCAATTTTGATAGTAAGTGGACTAGATGATCTTAGAGTCTTTTCTAGACTTCTGTGATTCTATGATCTCCATTTTGCCTTTTAGCCTATTCTGTTGAAAGCACTGGACTGTTTTTCTTGTTAGTATAATTTTAATTCTGGACAGCCACACATAAGGTTTCTTACTTCAGCATGTCAGGGGACCACTGTGTTGTTTGTGTATCGGTGATGCTTCTGTAATTTATGACAGGCTTAATTGAAGTGAAAGGCACACAGGAACATAATTCACCTTAATGGTTCCATTTTGTAGGTTTCTAACTTCTAACTCTTAGGAAGACAATTATTATATGTATTATATTTGATGCTGATTATCAGTGCTTTCTTTAATACCTTTTTTTTTTTTCTTTTTTAAACCAACAATGTGCACTCTTGCTTTGAGACTGCTTCCAAAGTTTCTTGCTTTGTGACAGTGTTAAAGCATCCAAATGGATCAGTTATATTAAAACTAATTCAATGTTCTGAATGATATAATTTTTTCATGGACTGTACTTTATATTCTAAATGTTTCCTTATAAATTCTCCTGTCACAACTATCAAGAAGAGGATTGAATGTAGTAATGTTTTTAATTAAGGAATTTAACGAAAGCTAGGAGCTTGTCCAAAGCTGTTGAAAGAAGTGCATAATACTTCTCACAAAAGAGTGTATGACAAGCCAGCAAACAGCTATTAACTGTAATTTTAAATATAAATATCTCCATTTTTTGATATAAATATCTCCAGGTGTCTGTTCCTTAGAGTATATTTGGAAATCTGAAGGTCACTGATTATCTGTAACTCCATTCAATAGCAGGAGTCTTGAGTCTTTTGTCTTTTGAAATGGAATGTGTCAGAGGAGTTGTGTTTGGTAATGACATAGCCTGGGTTTAATATTGTTTTTAGTGCTTCATGCTCTTCACAAACACCATGACTCTGAAATGATGTAAGATATCAGTCTTTTGCGCTTCTCTAAAATTCCTCAATTCTGGCAGAAAAGCTAGATGAAAAAATTAAGGCTTGGGGCTCATTTAAAATTGTAACTTAACGGATAATTCACCTATGTAAAGATCTAACACTGAGGGACTGTACAAGATGACTTATCAAGCCTTCTAACTGATCCCTGATAGTTTCCTGTACAATTTTTCTGCTTTACTTTCTGTAAAACTGTTGAGCACCCTATTGCTTTTCCTTCCTGATGTTATACCTTGTGCATATTTCTGCTCTTTTCCAGCAGGTCATTTGACTTGACCCGTAAATCTACTGCTAGCAATAACATGGGAAGATAACTGCCATTGGTAAGTGCTTCTTAAAACAAAAGCTTCATGTCGATCATTTCCTAACAGGGAATTGAACAGAATCTTTCTTCCTAGTGCCACTATAGGTAGAATTCATGCCATACTACTGATAAAGCTGTCATTTCTCTATGAAGTGCTCTTGGCTGAAGTGATTGAAACATGGTTCATTAAAATATAGAATATATATTTTATTACCACTTCTTTCATATGTTCACATATTTTAGCTACTGAAGAACCAAGTACCGTAATTAATGTCCCAATTAACTAAATGCCAACTGCTGGCTGGACTTGTTGTGTTGAGATCACAACACAAATCCTCTTCTAGGTGTCATTGTCCTCTTGACAGTATGCTAAGAATTGGGATGGCCTGTGGCCAAACACTTGTTCATTAAAAGAAATTCTTCAACATTCATATCTGAGATTTGCAGGGGCAGAAATTAAACCAGAATACATAATAAGTGAAGACTGTAAAGCTGAGCCAACCTGCGCAGTGCTCAGTTTTGTCCTTATTTAAAGATACTGATGTTCTAAAATGTGAGGATGATTGAGAAAAAAAAACTTAGTGTAGTGACACCCTGGTAACATCCATATTTATGTGTCAAAGATGCTGTGGAAAAGACAGGTAACTTCATAAATATTAAAGTCTATAAAGATTGAGCCTAGTAAAAAGGAGCATTATGACCTTCAGAAAGCCTGGCTGAATCTCCTTTCAGCTGGTGACCCAGGATTATAATAGCATTCAGCCTCTTAGATAGATCTTGGAAAGGTTTACTTTTCAGAAAGCAATCAGCAAATGCAGTGCTCCTTTTTAAGACTGCTTCCAGGTATCCAGAGATACTCAGTTTTGAGTTGGCAAACCTGATCTAAGAGTCCGTTTTTCCCTATGGATGAGAATAATCCATAATCTTTTGTTACAGTATTTTAGTATATTATCAGATAATGGTATTTAAGTTTGAGAAGAATGCTGCAATAGAGTGGCTGCGAAAGTGTTTAGTGCTTCTTCTCTGTTCTGAAGTATAGTCCCTGGTCTCATCACTAATGGTGTTTGTTATAGTAAATTAGGAAGGAAAAAAGAAAGAATGAGTGGTCAAAGAATATCTTTGAATCGGGCATGTTACTTGTACACTGGACTGATAAGGCTAATGCAGCATATTTTTGCAAGAGTGCCATATGAAAAATTGATGCACTTTGTAGCCATTGATGTTAAGCACATCTTCTGCCTTTCTTGAAAATTAAAGTAGCTGCATTTTCTGTACCCACCACAGCACAAAGTGGACAAATTAAAAGATTTATTTTTATGCCAACTTGTGACAGTGTACTGCAGGAACAGATGAAGTTTTTTTTAAAGGATGGTCACAAAAGTGAGGTCCTAATTTGCTTTGCAGCTTTATTTTAGTTTAGTTCTCTATTGCCATGAGGCATAAAAGTTACCGACTTATACTATATTCACCTCACGCTGGCTTCCTATCAAACAGAGTATTGGTGGAACACCTCCACTGAGTTCTCTACATGAAATTGTCCTTTTGTACGTCTCATAATCGGCTGCAATGTGACCAAGCATCTGGTGGTGACAAGCAGACGTCTTTGATTTATTGGCTAATATCACTGCTTGTTAGTGGATGGTTGAGCAGGAGACTAAAAGAGCATAAAATCAGAGAGAATAAATTATGAAGGCACCGAACTGTGGCATTATAAATCCCCCCTTGTCACAGCTGTGACATCTCCCAGGAAATGTGGGATGAGAGAAACATTCACTCTTCAAAGACAATGGCCACTGCCATATGATTTCAAATAAAATAAAGAAAGAAACATCCCAAATCCACCAACATCTTTCCTAAAGAGATGGTGTTTTCTCCTGTTGAAGCGCTCCCCATGAAACATAACATCTGCTTGGAAAGTGAGTTGATTAGCATCTTATTCAGAGATGTGGGGAATTTGAAGGATGATAGGGGGAAGAAGGATATCTCTAAGGCAGTTATAGGCCTATGGTTTCCATTAAACGCTACCCAAAAATTGAATCAGAACCCACACGAAGCCTAGCTGAAGATGTTCTGCTTCTCACTTTCAATGTTAGTATTCACACTGAGCCTGAAAATACGCATGGTCCCTGGAGAGCCAAGTGGTTATCCTGGCCTTGTCCCATGTAATAGATGGATAACAGGAATTAGCTTCCTGTTGGTGTGTTGCAGTGTGTTCTGTTTTATAAACGGCATATAAATAACTAAGATGTTTAGGTATACTTGGAATTGCAGAGATTCTTTGTGGACTTGCCAGGAGGATTTTATTAGGGTAGATGTGCAAACACATGACGAAAAAAATAGTCCCAGCATTTAAGAGATGCATGCGGCATTTTATATCTCCTTTTAAATAGTAGGTAACAAATTTAACAATGCATATGACTGAATACAGTGTTTCTGGCTCCCTCAGGACAGAAATACAACAGAGCTCAACTATTACTCAGTGATGACAATTATTGTGAGCTGCAGAGCAGTGATAATTGTTACTACTCATAATGTCAAATAAACATTATGCATATGTTTATTCAATAAATTAGCTTCAAGGGTGAAAGAAGATGATATTCACTATTTCACTCCTGTGCAGTAAAGAGATGTTTAATTAAATAATGGCAACAAGTCGTGCTATGGTTTAGAAGCTTAACAGATTTAGAGGAATAACAGATTCGGGGAAATAATGCAGACAAAAAATATATGTAGTTGATGGTTTTGTGCTAAAACCAAATAGTGTCCACAAGTGCAATAATGCAAATAGTGTCCACAAGTGAAAGACTGGGAACTGATTCAAAGGCGAACATTTATGAAAGTTGTGTATGTTTTCTGTGAAAAATTTAATTTTACTATTTCAATTAAAATCCAGTGGGAGTTCTTGCAAAGTTTCCTTTCACCTATTCAGTGTTAGATAAGCTGTAGCCATAACGAGGAGATATTCCTAGTACATTTAATGAGCAACACCAGTAACTGGTTCTGACTGACTGAGAAGTAAAGGAAACTTTTAAGGGTGCCCAGTGGAATTATTTTCCTACTGCGGTTATCTGAGGGTATTAGCCTTGAGCAGATTCTGGGAACTGCAGAAAGCAGCTGCACAATTAAAAAGACAGGAACAAGACAAGTAGTAGCTCTTAGTAGAAGAGAAGAGGAGCACAAGCTAATGACATGAGACCCCAGGCAGAAGTAAGCCTGTATGGTACTGCATAGCAGTTACATCAGAATACCCTAAAACCATTTGTTCAGGGTTTTCAGTTTATTGGGGAAAAAAATGGGAATTTCCCAAAGAAAGAGTCTGTGGGCTTTTGTTGTTGTTGTTTTGTTTTTTTGTTCTTGTAATTTTCTTGGCTATCTTCATTGTTTTGTTTTTCTTTTTTTGACAATTTCATGATAGTCATAATCAGAAACTGTAGTGTAAGGATTTGTAATATATGCTATCACAGATAATAAAATTTATTTTCCACTGAGAATTTTAGACTAAGAACTTGACAAGAAACAGTAGCAGGGGGCGAAGTCATGGTGTTTATTGTTTCAGTATATTTCCCTGAGTAGTCTTTTTTAGTTTAAATTCTTTTTTCAAGGGAGAGCTGTTCCATCTAATGGATTTGAATGTATTGAATAGATTTGAAAGGATTTCCTTCATGTTCACTTTATTTCTTAAGCATTTCATCCTGTTTCTGCTTAAGAGTTACAAAATGGAACAATGAGAAAATCTCCATAAAATTTGCATACAGTTTTTAATAACGAGTCCCAAAAATCTGTCCTTATTTATATAAGAACTACTGATCAAATCCTTGTGTGGATTTTCTATAAGAAGAAAAGCATAACACCTGGAGACAGAATTCTGTTGTTAGATAGTGGCCATATGTCAGTCAGAATGTTTCTGACAGTGGAAGACATTCACAAGCCATAATGGTGCAGAATCTTGAAAGGTAAGTTAAATAGAAGATAGTTCATTAGTAGAAAACAGAAAAATAAAAACGAGCCAAAACAAGAGCTTCTTTCACAGTGTTTGAAAAAAATCAACCTGTCAAAATTGTCACTGACATCAGAATCTTAGTAAATAGATTTTACTTTCTCTGAAACATTTCTTCTCTTAAGAACAAAAATAAGAAAGGAAAATCAGAAACCTCAAATTAGGAGAAGGAAATACCTAATAAATTGGACAAATTTTCAAGATGTACGGATGCAAAAAATAAGAAAGCAAGGTCTTTCATTTCAGAATATGAAACATAGGAGATCTGAACTTAGTTTGAAATCTCACCAAAGACTACATGTAACTTGGGCAGCAAACTTAGATATTGTTCAGTATCCCAGGCATATGATGGGATTGCTACCAATTTAGCACTTGAAACAAATTTATCTTGGTTTTATCTGTTTGCTGTTTGATGAAGATGTGATTCACCAAAAAGACCTGTATCTCCACTTGTATTCTTCAACTTATTTAGGTCTTATAATTGCAACTTTGTGATTTAGCAGTTTAAAGGATCCATGGTTTGAAATGCCCATGCATTGGAAGTTCTTCAAACAATTCAAAGGAATAGTAGTTATTTAAAAATATACATATACTTTAATAAAATATTGATTTATTTTTTCTACACAGTAGAAAGAAATTTTGCGTATTTATAGAAAATAAATAAAATTGCACATTTCTGAAGATCAGAGCCAATATTTTATTCTAAAACTTGATTTTTGATCAGGGAATAATCATTTAATTTCACCCAGACAGTTAGTTATCATTAACTTTTTCTCATTAGAGAATGTTTTCTGAAGGTGTCCACAAAGGAGGTAGGTATGATACAAGTAGTTAAAGCAATGGTTAGTATAGAAATTTTGGTTTAGTCATCTGGATTTTGTTGGAGTGCATGAGCTGAAAATAAGATGTGAACATAGGCTCCCAGTGTCCCAGGTCGGATTCCATTTTCATGTTCAGCAGATTGTCAGTTCACATAAAACCTTAAAGTTTCATTGAATCAGAAAGGAACTGGATACGTGTAT